GTAAGTGGTAAAATCTTGTTACTTTGGTAGATATAATGATAGCTATGCTAATTGCATCCTTGTAAGCAGAAAGCTGTCTATGAGTGTGAGACTGTTGCAAACACTCTTAGGTTTCTGATTCGGAAGCCTTTGTTTTAAGCTCCTGTTAGTAGACACCGTGGAAAAATAAGTATGAGTAGTCCTTGAATTTTATTTTAATTTGGTCCGTCTTACCACTCATCAATTTTTGTAACAGTGATTTTACGATGATTATGGTGCCATACACGTCTCAGAAGTGATACCTTGACCTCCACTGTTTGTCAAAATTGTTTTATGTTTTAAGTGAAATGAAATGTACGTTTTTTATTCTAGGGTTCTGCTACCCTTTCAATGGCTTATGCTGGAACAAAGTTTACTGCATCTGTAAGTACAAGGGTCGATTTTTTTGAGAAGTGATAGCACAATTGACAAAGATGGATATTTATGTGTAGATCTGTACGAGTTTGAAGTACTTATTCTCCTTATGTACTTTTGTGAGGTTCTCGATGCACTAAACGGCAAAACAGGGATAGTGGAGTGTGCATTTATCAAGTCAGATATCTGTGGCACAGGCTACTTTGCTTCGCCAGTAGAGCTTGGGGTAAGATCAGTTAAGCTTGTCATGTATAGTTACATTCACTTGCTCAAGTGGTCATAGAAACTCAGATGATTGGCGAAGGAATGTCTTGTCTTCCTGTAATGGCTTTGTTTATGCATCATACTTTTTAAAGAATGGCCGCCGTAGATTCCTGTACCTCATTAGGACGTGGGATACTATAAAAAAGTTATCTGATATCATTTCCAAACACAGAAGGTTCTTACAGCTTGGTAAAAAAAAATATCCATTCTAGAATTGTAATATTTAGAACACTTACTCTTGCGACTTAGCTGAAGAAGTCAAAATAATATCATTGTCGCAAGTTGGAAGCACCCTTTGTTTGGTAATACCCTGAAGCCCGGCAGCGCTAGTGCAAAAGGCTTTTTCATGGGAAATTTATCCTTGAAAAAGAAGGGTCATGCTCTGCTTTGGAATCACCAGTAGCACGGCATCAAAACTGATGACTAATGTCTCCCCTCTTTTCTTCATTCCCATTGTCTGTACTATACATCTTCTGCGTTCTTTCGTTTCGTTTAGCCTAATGGTGTGAAGAATAACTTAGGAATCGGAGAGCTATCACCATATGAGAAGAAAAAGCTTGAGGAGGTTGGTGTCCAGTTTTAAATAATTACTTCTGTACTCAGCACGCTGGCAATCCTCTTATTAACCAACAAGGTTTTACTTACAGCCAGTTTTTTTCGCTCCTTTTGTGATGCTCCTAACGTTGAAGGACTCATTCAACATTTTTCTTTATTACTATTATTATTACTATTATCACCACTTCTTTGACAAATCGATACTTCTTTTTCGTGTTTTCCACGATAACGGCACGAAATGTTCCTAGTTAATTTTGAAATAGTATTGATCTTTTTTCCGTAGCAACACAACAGCCTCCTAATATAACCTTTCATTTAACCTTCAGGATCCTGGAAATTGAAACGAGCTCCATTTGTGACCCCCATTTTTCATTCCAGTCAGCATATCAAGATAGATAATTCTGCGAAATGAAATGAAATATGTAGGTTCCGAGACACCTTAATGGGGCACTTTTTTATACCTTTTACAAAGGGAAAAACGCCAGGACCCATTGAGACTATAGAGGGAAAGTTTTTGGCACCCACCCTAGGCTCATCACCTTTTTAAATACAACAGCAAGAACTAAAAAACGGTTAAAGGACGGTTTCTAGGAACCAAAATATTGGCAAGGTTAGCATAGGCAAAGAGTTGGCTATAATTATGCAAGGTATAAATTGAATATGTGATACCAGAAGTCTTCCTTTGCTTTATTTATTACTATTATTAACTTTTTGACATTTAATCTTAACGATTGCGATCAATTGTTACATTCTAGGTAATTCCCGAACTGACCAAGAACATCAAGAAGGGCGAAGAATTCGTTTTGGGCAAATGATTGCAATGCTTGGTGCACCGAAGAGCCTGGGCAGGAAATTTTATTTTTCATTCCTTGCTGCATTAATTGTGTGTGTGACAACTTTTCAACATGCAAGGAGATTGTACCAACACTGAGAAAATGTTGCAGATATGGGTGAATTAAAAGAGTTGTTTTAGTACCAGTGGTTGTTTATCTAAAGCTTCTATGCAATCAAGCTGAAAAAAATTCTCTCGCTCCCACCTTTTCCCTTTGCAATAGTAAGCAAAGAAAACCTTTGAATAACAGTTGCCAGGGTAGGTGAACTGCAAAGAAGGAATTGTAAACCATGAATAGGACAAAGATGGTTTAGGATGTAGATGACTGGCGCGGATTATGAGCGACGGACAATATTTTAGTTAAGATGCAAAAAACGTAGAGAGTGCATCTCGTAAGCGTTTCTGTATCTCTTATCAGGGGTGAAAGGGATTGGGAAATAGACATGCATGTACGACTTTTTCCGCTGTTGAACAAAGTCATTCAATTAATCGTCTTCTGATTCTTATCTCTGAGCCTGCAACCGATGAACATGGAAGTATCTTCAAAGGAACTACAGAAATGCAGATAATAAATGCTTGATGGAGACAAGAACGGAAAGATATTTTAATTTTCCAACCGATTAAACGAGAAGTGAACAACGGCTGCATGCGATAAGGAGAGTTGAAGGAAAGGATTTTCGCGTGACAAAGAATATTAAAGTCTGCTTTTGACACTTAAGGTGAAGTGATTTGAGAAATTCATTTACTGTAAAAGTGTATTTAAGGGATAATGCGGCGCCCTCAAAGTTCAAATGGTGTCCGGAATCGCCAAGGAAGCAGAAGGCTCCAGCAGTGCGACTTCCCTCACAGCCGGCTACGGAAAAAACGAAGAGGACGAAGTCATCGACTAGCACCAAGACATGCAGCTCTTCAGATTCATCGGAAGAAAGGGAGACCCAGCAAGAGGCAAATGGGAATGAACTGAAGAAGGATGTCTTGGTTGCAAAGCTGAACAGGTGGAGCTTGACGACCATATTTAAAAAAAAGCTCCACGAGACCGGGAAACGAATAAATGCACTAGAAAATGAAAACACTGTTCTTCTTGAGAAGTCAGCAGCCGCGGAGAAAAAACTTGAAAGTACGACCGAGCGCGTGTTTGATTTAG